CTTCCCCTCCCCCCTTGTTGATGGGTTTTTTTTTTTTTTTTTTTTTTTTAACTGGATGGAGAGGATGCTCCCTGCAACAGCCTTCTCACAGCTCCCAATCCCCTGGGCAGTCCCCAGCGCAGGACACGGGTCAGTGGTGTTTATTTTTTTTACAGGACCACACGAGAAGGTTTTGTCAACTGAGAAAAACACAGATGTTTCAGTATCAATAAAGAGTTCTTTGAAAGAGTTGGCTCCTGCAGCAGGGTGCCGGCAGGGCAGGGGGCTGGATGCAGAGCAGCCCCTGGGGGCTCTTGCGCAGGAGGCTGGGGAGGGGGGTTTCTTCCGGGGTGCTCCCAGCAGGCTGGGAGAGACCTTTTGCAAGCACCAGCTGGGAAATCTGCAGGGAGAAGCTGTCTCCCTGCAGCTCAGAATTTCCCCCCACCAAGAGCAGTAAAGAGGGCTTGTTGCACTGTAGCTGCCTGAAATCTTTATTGAATAAAAGCTCTGGATACAGAGGAATTTCCCAGCCCGGGAGCTGTTCCCAGCTCTCCAGCCCTGCTGAGAGCAGGATATGTGCTGAGGAGGAGCCGCTGTGGCAGACCGAACCTCGCAGCTGGTGAGCTGGAAGGAATGCTGTTACGTCAGCGGGGCGAGCGGCGAGGAGATTCCTTCCTGCCTTACCGAGGGCTGTTTCACAGGCTGGCTCAAGGGCTTGTCCCCCAGGCCTGTGCCAAGCCCTTCTCTCCCATGCTCGCTGTGTTCCCTTGTGCCCCTCAGAGGGACAAAACAGGCCTTTGCAGGCTGCTGGTTTGCAGCCCAGCTCAGTCATTTGTAAAGCGACTCCTGCCAGGCTGAATCTCTACTGTCGCAGCCTGCAGGGAGGATTTGTGCGTAGCAGTGGGTGCCTGGGTGCGTGACCATTGGGCAGGTCTGACTGCATCAGTCCCGGAGATCCCCTGGGTCCCTGCGCTGTCGGGACAGATGTGGTGCTGTCCCATTGCATCTGCCTTGGGTGCTACTGCCCTGCTTCAGCCCACCCCTGGCTGAAGCCACAGCCGTTGCCCTGCACTTTTACTGGCCAAGCTGCCTTCACGGCAGGGGGGGGAGCTGCCTTCACGGCAGGAGAGGCAGCGTGGTGTCCACTGCAGCCTCCTGGGTGAGCAGGCGCTTCCTGCCCTCCTCACCAGGAACACGGCAGCTCCTGTCCTGCCTGCTCCAAAGCAGCCCTGGGTGGTAAGGGAAGGAAAAAAGAGCAGGAATCCTGAGTCAACCCTCTGGTTCCCAGCACTGAGCACCAAGCTGCTGTGGGAACAAGCAGCTTTACCTGTGCTGGGAAATGTCCCCACCAAAGCAGGCATGAGGTGTACAGCTCCTGCCCACCTGGTGTCAAGCACACTGTAGCTGCTCCCTGGGGACAAAACACTACAGACAATCCAGGACTAATGAGAGACAATTAGGTAGGAATAGATTTCCGAAGAGACCCCGACGTGAGCCGGGGAGCCCTGGCCTCGCTGGCTTATACGCAGGGGAAGTTCAGATCCATGCCAGGCCCTCAGTGCTGGCTCCGCTTGCGGTACAGGTAAGCGTTGCTCACCTGATTCATGATAACCAGGCTGGTGAAAAGGGGACACAGCATGGCAAGGTACCAGGAGGCGCTGGTCACCGAGGTGGTGAACCACAGGGAGCACATGCCTAGCATCAGGCTGGCGCATCCCAGCAGGTAGCCCACCAGCCCCGAGGTTGCGTGGTACAGCTTGAGCTTGGCCAGCGTCCAGTTCTTCATCAGCTTGGGGTAGAGCAGAAGGGCCCCGCCGGCGCACTGCCCGCTGGCGTACAGCACGGTCAGCAGCCCCGTCAGGCCGTGCCAGGTCACGAAGTGGGCCTTGCCGTTCAGGTGCTTGTTGTAGGTGATGATGCCCAGCCCCAGGAGGGCGCAGAGGAGGGCGAGCAGCTGGAGGGCCCAGTGCACCCGCACCTTGACTTTGCGGGAGAAGGAGCGGAGCAGCGAAGTCTCCGGGGAGAAGATCAGCAGCGCCTCCGT